TCGGGGCACACAGAACACGAGGCCATCAGCGAGGGGGCACTTGGGTCACAGGATCGCGCCACCTCCTGCCCGGTGCCCCTGCCGGGTGTCCAAGCCAGAGCCAACAGCTGTGGGGCTTCTGGCCTGGGGGGCTCTGCTCCACTGGCATGCAATAGGGTCAAGGTGCAGGCTCTGTGTCCAAGCTGGCAAGAGGAGGCTTGGAGGAGCACCTCCCTACGGATGGGGAGATGCAGAAAGTCACCCCCCTGTGCAGATCCTGGGAACAGGACACTGTTCCCGCCTCCCTGGTGCTGGCGTCTGAGCTGGACCAGGGCAGTGGCACCTCAACCCTCCTGCTGCGTAAGCTCCTCTTGCTTGATAATAAACTAAATTTTGAATGAAACAAAAAGAAAAAAGACACACACACTAAATTTCCTTGTCCCTCTGTGATCCTGAGCCAGGAAGCAAGGGGAAGCCTGGCCTCCTGGGCTCTCTCCCCAGCTGCGGGCTGAGCAGTTTCCTCTAGCTGGGCTCAGTGGGACCGGGCTGCCCTTCCTTCCTGCATGGACATCCCCATATCTTCCATTGCCCCATACAGAGTGCCATGATCCGGGTTCAAATCCCAGCTCCAGCACTCGCAGCCTGAGTTACCTGGCAAATGCCTTGCCCCCAGGCACCTGCTGTCTGTGTCCTTCCTGACAGGAGGGACGGGAGGTGCTGTCCCTGACATGAAGTGCTGTAACAGTCAAACAAGCGGAGCACAAGACGCCTGGGTGGGGGACTGCCCTGCTGGCTGCTGGGGGTGCTCACCGAAGAGCACCTCCCATCTGCCCACATGGCCTTGCAGGTCTCAGCACTTATTAGGCACCTGACTACGGTAAATCCCTAAACAAAGCCCTAAGCTGCCCTGGGGAATGTGACCAGGGCGATGGACCAGGAAGGACAGTCTGGGGTGCCAGGCATGAGGATAAGCCAATCTCTTCCCGGCAGCTTTGGGTCCCAGGGCACCCTCAGTGGACAGAGAACCCAGAGATGCCACAAGGCTTGAGCTGCATCCCCGAGTTCCAGCCCAGCCATGCCGGGCCCAGGGGTACTTTGGGCACTAAGTTGGGATGAGGAGGGGCCAGGTGACACTCCTGTGTTCCAGGATCTGGTCAAGAGGGTGGTACCCTGTCACTGCCTGGCTCCACCTGGTCCCAGTGGAACAAGAAGAGCAGGAAGCCTCTAGCACCCACCCTCTGGGCCACCAACACCCAGATCCACAGTGTGGCCACCTGAGTCAGCACCACCTGCCTTGGGGACCGGAGCATGAAGGCCCAGATATGACCAGCACAGTGGGGCAGAGGATGCAGGTGGGCAGGATGTGCTGTGCGGATCCAAGGAGCCCCTCTCTCGAGGCTGGGGCATAACCTCTCCATCTTATTGACGCATAATATTTTACCTCTTTGTAGGGTACATACTGTAGCAGGACGAGCCGCAGACAAAACTCCTCAGACACCGGATTAAAGAAGGAAGAGGTTTTTTTATTCGGCCAGGAGCGTCGGCAGACTCGCGTCTTAAGAGCCGAGCTCCCCCCAAAAAAATTCCTAGCCCTTTTTAGGGCTTACAACTCTAAGGGGTCCACGTGAAAGGGTCGTGATAAATCGAGCAAGCATGGGAAATGTGACTGGGGGCTACATGCATCAGCTAACAGAACAAAAAGTTTTACAATGCTTTTTTCATACAGTGTCTGGAATTTACAGATAACACAAGTAGTTTAGGCCAGGGGTTGATGTTATTATTATTACTTTGTTTAACTCCTAGGACTGGGTGGTGGTGCCAAGGTTGTCTGGCTATTTATCTTACTTTTGTTTCTCTCTCTCTTTTCTCCTGTCTTTGAACTAGGCAAGGTGGGGGGAGGAGGGCAGCAGGAGTAGTAGTGGTCTCCTTCCTTAATACAAATGCTTGTTACATGCATAAAATGTGTATTCTGGTTACTTTGAATATTTACACATAATATTGTTATTTAGTCACCATAGTCTGCTGTCAAACATTACAGCTTATTTCTTCTAACTGCAGGTCTGTACCCAATAGCCAACTTCTCTTCATTCTCCCTTCCACACCCCATCTTCCCGGCCTCTGGTACTGCCATCATGTTCTCTGGGTCCATGAGATCAAGCTTTTTTTAGCTCCTACATGTGAGTGAGAACCTGCGGTATTTGTCCTTCTGTGCCTGGCTTATTTTCCTCGATGACTTCCAGATCTACCCTTATTTCTGAAAATGACATGATTTCATTATTTGTTATGCCAAATAGTATTCTACTGTGTATATTTAGCACATCTTACTTATCCATTCATCAGTTGATGAATACTTGCATTCTCAGTATCTTTGCTATTGTGAATAATGCTGTGATAAACACAAGCATGCAAGTTACCCTTTGTTACACTGAACTTTTTCCTTTGGATGAATACCCCTCCCCGCCCCCAGTGAGATTGCTGGACCATACAGTAGCTCTATTTTGCGGTGTTTTTAGAATTCTCTATACTGGTTTCCATCATGTTTGTACTGATTTGCATTCCTACTGACAGTGTAGCAGAGTTTCCATTTCTCTGCATTCTCACCAGCATCTGTTATTTTTTGTTTTATTAATAATACCCATTCTAAGTGAGGTGAGATAATATCTCGCTGCGGTTTTGATTTGTATTTCCCTGATCAATGATGTTGAGCATTTTCTCATATACATCTTAGCCATTTGTATGTCTCTATTCCTGTCCTTTGCCCATTTTTAATGGCATTGTTTTGTTAGCTGCCACCGCAGCCCATGGCCCATAGCCACTCCCACCTGAGCACGCCTGGGGGCCTAGCACAGCAGCTCCTCGCCTGGAATCCAGCATATGCCCTTCCGGACCCAGGCAGCCCTCCCGATGCTCTGCCCAGCCCTGCTGGGAGGGTAGCCGCTGGGTTGGTGTGGCTGCAGGCAGAGACCTTGCCTGCCCTACTCAGCCTCCTGCACCAGTGCCGGGGAGGGTGTCCAGCGCATGGGAAGGTGTGGGCTGGCTTTGAACTCAGGGGAGCTGGAGCAGGCAAGCTGGAAGGGGACCGTGGGCAAAGCCGTGGGCTGTGGGCTGTGTTCAGGAGGAGGTTTGTGGCCCACCAAGCCTGTGGTGGCAGTTAGGGACGTGTAGTCACAGGACTGGGCAGGGCCTGGACCAGTAGCCCAAAGTCGGCCTCAGCATTGGCACAGCAGGACAGGCCTGAGAGGCCCACTGTGAGGACTGGACTGGGTGGAGGGTCTGAGGCCCTGGCCAGAGTCACAATGGGGCACAGAGCAGGGTGGTTGGAGAAGCCTCCTAGGGCAGAATAAGAGAGTGAGGACTTAGGACTTAGGGCAGTAGTAGAGGAGGAGTTGGGCGTGCCCCCTAAATCTCATAACATCCCACTAGGTGCTGTGGGGTTGTCCCTGTCCCCACCACACAGGATGCTGACATATCTGCCGCCTTCACCACCTTCAGGCCCGGATGACTCACCCTGAGCAGTTAGAAAAGCACAGGGAAGCATTCATCCTGTGAGAAGCTCGGGAAGCTGCTTCCCTTCTCAGGACACCTCCTGAGGCAGCAGAGGCCAGGCTGGCAGGGAAGGTGGGACAGCTGGAACATTCCTGAGGCTGCCCTGACACCTGGTGGCGGCCCTCAGAAACCAGCAGCTGCATGGAGGAAGTGCCGGCCAGCAGGAGTGAGTGCAGGAAGGGGGAGAGAGGAAGGGGGAAGGGGAGAGAGCAAGTCCATTCTAGACCAGTGGTCCTCAAACTTGAACCTGCAGTGGCATCACCCTGAGTGCTGTCCCTGACTCGGGAAACTGCTGGAAAACTCGGAACTGCTGGGAAATCTGCATTTCTAAGAGGTTCCCGGAGGCTGCTGTGCTGCTGGTCCGGGACCAAGCCATGGGTCTGAGAAAGGAATGAAGGGATGTCTGCGCTCCTACTGGGTGCCTACCGGGTGGTACTGTTATACTATACCTTCCTTATAGAGGAGGCCACCAAGGCTGGAAAGGCCACGTTCCCACACTATCCACGTCCGTGCCCACAGAAGTGATAACCTTTTGAAATCAGTGCAGGCCCAGAGACCTCCCTAGGGGTCCCTGCTGCACATCTGTTGAGCAGGTCACAGCCTGGGTTTGTCTGCACCAAGCAGGCAAGACGGCTCCTGAGAATGGGCCCTGCCCGGCACACCTGCCCAGGCACTGAGCCAGGAACACACAAGCTGCTCACCTGGCCTCTGACAGGTTAGTGAAAGAACGGGGCAGGGCCTGCCTGGGGTGCTGCACAGGAGCACCTAGCTCACTGCCCTTTGGAGATGACCCTGTTTGAGAACTGTCATTCTGATGACACAGCAGTGAAGGGTCTGGTGGAGCTGCCAGCTCCCCTGGGGCCCAGGAGGAGTTGCCTCTGACCTGATTCCCACTTCCCAGGCAGGGGCATGCCCAGAGAGCCATGCAAAGCCTTCCTTCCTCCCACTGGCCAGTGACTGTCCCTGGGCTCAGCCACACCACAGGAGGGGAGGAGGCCATACTGTCCAGTGTCGCTTCTCTCAGCATTGTGCTGAGCTGGAGGGAAGGCTAGGAGGCCTCCTAGAGGAGGGGACACCTGTCCAGCAGCTCAGCGGAGGTCAGTTAGGTGAGCAGGGAGGGAGAGGAGAGAGGAAGGCAGAGGTCTCAGAAAGGGTGGGGCTTGGAGGCCAGGACCATGGGAGTCAAGGCTTCACAGAATCACCTGAGGGCAGGCGGAAATGCAGACTCGGGCCACCCCAGACTCCCTCAGGACGTTGTGGCTTTAAGTCCCAGGAAAATGCATTTCTAACCTGCTCCTGGCCACTGGAGTTTGGTCCTCAGGATTCCCAAGACCTTGGCTAGGTGGCCAACTTGTGCCCCCAATACCAGGTAAAAAGAGAGCAAGGTGCCAGGGTAGCCTCTGCCCCAGCCCAGCCCACACTGCCTGCTCCCTGCCTGCTGGGGTCCCACAGGATCCAGAGCCAACCACCAAGCCAAGCAGGACCTCAGACCTGTCCAGGTGCCTCAGGGCTGGCATACCACGTCTGTCACCTCATCTGTAAGCCTGCATCATGAGAAACATTTATTGTCAGTAGTTACAAAGGTTCCCAGCACCACTCTCTGTGCCTCCCGTCTGTGCTGACTCAGTGAGTGCCCATCACAGTCTTTCAGGGTGCTCCTACTGCACCTGTTGTAAACAAAAGGGGAAACGCAGAGGCGAGTTGCCCCCCAGAGCACACAGCTGGTAAATGCCCGGTGATGGCTCAGGCCAGACATCACTGCCACCGTGCCTCGTTACCCCCGCGTCCACCAACTTAGGTTAGTGGTTGAAGGGAGAAAGTTCTGCAAGAAGAGTAAAAGTGGGGCATTATGCAAAGACCAATAAAGGGTCCTGGGAATACAGAAATGCCAAGACTCCATGTTTACACTCCCTGGAGGGGCAGAGGAAGCCTTTCCCACCTGCAAAGCTCAGGCATGGCAGGGCCTTCCTTGGCCATGAGAACAAGAAGGGAGTGGTCTCATCTTCGAGGGCTATGGAGATACCAACTGTCACCCAGTTTTACAAATAACAAAAGTGAAGCTCAGGAAAAAAGGAACAGAGGAAGGGTCAAACCTACAGAAGACTCAGCGTGCCCAGCACCGTGCTCGGCCTTCCTACACACTCAGGCCACTTAGTCCTCTACCAGCCCTGTGGGCTTGGCGTCATCCCTCCCCTCCCGTCATTCACAGAGATGAAAAGGCTCAGAAGGGCAAGCCCTGACCCTGGACCCCCACGTGGTGGGGTGTTATCCGGACCCCCACATAGTGGGGTGTTATCTGGACCCCCACGTGGTGTGGTGTAATCTGGACCCCACATAGTGGGGTGTTATCCAGACCCCCACGTGGTGTGGTATAATCCGGACCCGTCACTCATGTGGTGTGGTGTAATCTGGACCCCACATAGTGGGGTGTTATCCGGACCCCCACGTGGTGTGGTATAATCCGGACCCGTCACTCACGTGGTGTGGTGTAATCTGGACCCCACATAGTGGGGTGTTATCTGGACCCGTCACTCTGGTGAGGCCTGGGCAGTGCTCCCACTGCCCCCTCTCCAAGTATGGTCTCGCTGACTGCTGTGCCCCCTCACCTGGCACAGCACCCGGTGGCAGCTCATCCTGGTCAGCTTTGCTGTACGGCAAACAATGCTCCCCCTGCCGTCCGTGACACGGAGCCCCTGAGGGGCAGCTGTGAAGGCTCTGCCCCATGAGTCCTATCTGGGACCACAGGGGAGGGAGCAGCTCCTGCAGTGGGGAAAAGGATGAGAAGACTGCAGAAGCCCCCTCTGTTTCCTAAAGCACCTGCTCAAACATGACACACTCACGCCCCCTTCCCCCAGGCACGGCGCACCACCCGTGAGGCTTGGACTCTGTTCCTCCGGTGGGCAAGATGACACGGACCGGCACTCGGCATCGGGCAGGAACTTACAGGCTGCTCACAGGAAGGGGCAGCAGGACAACCAGGGGCAATAACGCGTCGTCCTCAGCATGACTTTAATTTAATAAAGGACAAACTGCAGAAGCCCCCTCTGTTTCTTAAAGCACCTGCTCAAACATGACACACTCACGCCTTCCCCCAGGCACGGCCACCACCCGTGAGGCTTGGACTCTGTTCCTCCGGTGGGCAAGATGACACGGACGGCACTCGGCATCGGGCAGGAACTTACAGGCTGCTCACAGGAAGGGGCAGCAGGACAACCAGGGGCAATAACGCGTCGTCCTCAGCATGACTTTAATTTAATAAAGGACAAACGGATGAAGGAACTATATTCCTTGCTGGAAAGGGTGAACATCTTCTCTAGTCCATCCACACCAGTTGATAAGTAGGGAAAGAAACGATGAACAGCAACAAAAATACCGTGACCAAATGACATTTGTGTTGTGTGAACTAACGATCTGCTTGTAATATGCAACCACTGGCTTTATGAATCAGTAAAAATTCTGCAAAGGAAAGTTAGTATAAACCCAGCTCCACCGAGAATTGACGAATTGACAATCATGATCTGTCATTAACTATGGCCTGTTGCGTTTATCAGCAGCTGAGGCAAGGGCCATTTCTTCCTGAGCTCAGACAACACCTCCCAGACTTCAAGCACTGAGCCCAGGCCACATGATTAGCTCTCACCACTGGAAGGGGAGCGCACTCCAGAGCTGAGGATGGTGTGTCTTCACTGTCTTTTTTTTTTTTTTTTTTTTTTGAGACAGAGTCTCGCTCTGTTGCCAGGCTGGAGTGCAGTGGTGCTATCTCAGCTCACTGCAAGCCTCTCCCTCCGGGTTCATGCCATTCTCCTGCCTCAGCCTCCCGAGTAGCTGGGACTACAGGTGGCTGTCACCACACCAGCCTAATTTTTTGCATTTTAGTAAGATGGGGTTTCACTGTGTTAGCCAGGATGGTCTCGATCTCCTGACCTCATGTCTACCGCCTCAGCCTCCCAAAGTTCTGGGATTACAGGTGTGAGCCACCGCCGCCCTTCACTCCTTTTCTTCCAGCAGGTTGTGTAAGTTCCCACAGAGGTTCCAAGGCAAAGACAGAAAAGCAGCTTTGGTCCCTGAACAACGCCTGGAGCAGAGGCCTCTCATCCCTTTTGAACCCACAATGGACGTGCGACTTGAACAAGAAATAGAGCTTTCGTCGGGTGCGGTGGGTCAAGCTCTAACCCCAGCACTTTGGAGCCGAGGCGGGCGGATCACCTGAGGTTGGGAGTTTAAGACCAGCCTGACCAACATGGTGAAACCCTGTCTCAATTTAAAATACAAAGTTAGCTGGGCGTGGTGGTGCATGCCCGTAATCCCAGCTACTCTGGAGGCTGAGGCAGGAGAATCACTTGAACCTGTGAGGTGGAGTGTGGTGAGCCAAGATCCCACCGTTGCACTCCAGCCTGGGCAAACAAGAGAGAAACGCTGTTCTCAAAAAAAGAAAAGACGAGAGAAGAAACAGAGCTTTTTCTGCATTCAGCTGCTGATTTGGGGTGGCTTACTAACAGCAGCTGACCTCATGTTAACCTCGTGTGAACAGCGCTGACTTTCCGCTTCTAGTCCTGGTGATCCTGGAGGTGAGCTGTGCGCTGCACTGCAGGAACCTTTAGTCATCGACTAGTCCCAACACCACACTTGGGAAA